GAAGAGGTGATTTTTGAAGAAAAAGTTTGGATCAATATTTTGGGTCTTGGAGGTTTCAAGATTTAGATGCAAGGTTTCAAAGAAAGGGAAGATTATTGAAGTAAGTGTATGTGTTTGTTCGTGGTATTGGGCTTTAATAAGCAACTTGAATTTTTGTCAACGGCTATTTTTTTTTTTACCGTTGTGAAACTGAGCCTAGCTATAGCCTATACTCCGTTTCAAAAATGACCGTTGAGATTTTGTACTGTTCAACGGATTTGACTTATATTGTTTACTTTTGTTCTGTTTTTTTTTGTCAGCGAAGTGTTACGTATGTATTACGACTATTGCTAATTGTAATATAATCAAAGTATCAAAGCGTCTTAAGACTTAACTACATGCGAAGTAAAACTGTCCAAGAAAGGAATATTAGTGGTTCGTAATATAAATTTTGGTTCTTGATTTAAACCGGATTGAACCGGTATGGTTATTTGGTCACAGCAACGTCTACGTGGCACTCGTCTGTTTATTCCTCCGCCATACAAGGTACGTATGCGTAATTCCTTCTCCTTCTTCTTCCCCAAGTTACAAACCCTAGATCCTAGAAAACATCACATTACGAAAAAAAACAAGAAATTGATAATATTTGTTGACTGATTTTAATTTCTCTAAAGAGCTATTTTATTTCTTATTTGTTTTTGCTAGGTTTTGGTTCGTTACATATGTGATCATTCAATTCTTCTTGAGAAAATGTACAAATCCCAATATACAGGTGGCCAAAGAGAAAAATTCGTAAGGTAAAAAGAAAACAAAATGGATCCTTGTTTCACGTTGTTATATAATTCATGAGACATCTGTTTTCTTTATCTATATGAATGTTGTTGTTAATTAACATCTAAATTATTACAGATTAGATTATACAGATTCGAGAGTATCAATGTCTTCTACTACTACGGGAATGAAACGATCTTGTTTCGGATTGTTTAACCTAACTGGTCGTGGAAAGACAAAGAACACATCCAAATCCTTTAGAGAAGGCGTTAAAATCGGATCTGAAGGGTTAAAAACAATCGGAAAATCGCTTAAATCAGGCGTTACGAGAGCTGTTTTCCCTGAAGATTTAAGAGTATCCGAAAAGAAAATCTTTGATCCTCAAGACAAAACACTTTTACTATGGAACAGAATGTTTGTCATCTCTTGTATCCTCGCTGTCTCTGTAGATCCTCTGTTTTTCTATCTTCCGATTGTCGATAACTCGACGAACTGCATTGGAATAGACTCTAAATTAGCTGTTACAACTACAACTCTGAGGACGATCATCGATGTTTTTTATCTAATGCGAATGGCTCTTCAGTTTCGTACGGCTTATATCGCTCCTTCTTCTCGAGTTTTTGGAAGAGGTGAGCTTGTGATTGATCCTGCAAAGATCGCGGAACGGTATTTGACTCGTTATTTCATTGTTGATTTCCTCGCGGTCCTGCCTTTACCTCAGGTAATTCAAACAAAACTTCAATTTTGTGTTTTTAGTATTTAATAAAGCTTCAATATTTGTATTTATTATGTACTAAAGCTTCAATCTATTCAATTTTTGTGTTGCTATTTTACTAAACGTTCAATGTTTGTGTTTTACTATTACTAAAGCTTCAATATTGTGTGTTACTAACTCAATAATCATATTGGATATACATTGATTACTTGAATTTGATGATTCTTGGTGTTGTTCTTGCAGATTGCGGTGTGGAAGTTTCTACATGGATCTAAAGGAACAGATGTATTACCGACAAAACAGGCGTTATTACGCATAGTCATCACACAGTACATACCGAGATTCGTTAGGTTTATTCCATTAACATCAGAGCTCAAGAAAACCGCAGGAGCTTTCGCTGAAGGTGCTTGGGCTGGTGCTGCTTATTATCTCCTTTGGTATATGCTTGCAAGCCACGTAAGCTTTTTCAATCCATCTTTAGGTTAAAATTCAGACAACAGCTTTGTTCTGTTTTGTCTCTGTTTCTAAAACGTTTTGTTATATACTTTGGTAGATAACTGGTGCGTTCTGGTACATGTTGTCAGTAGAACGTAACGATACATGCTTGAGATCGGCTTGTAAAGTCCAGCCAGATCCTAAACTTTGCGTTCAGATTCTGTATTGTGGAAGCAAACTTATGAGCAATCGCGACACGGAGTGGACTAAATCAGTCCCTGATCTTTTCAAGAACAATTGTTCTGCGAAAAACGCTGATTCGAAATTTAACTATGGGATCTATAGTCAAGCTGTTTCTTCTGGAATTGTATCTTCGACAACATTTTTCTCCAAGTTTTGTTATTGTCTTTGGTGGGGTCTTCAAAATCTCAGGTAAAAAACATCGAAGATTCGACGAATCACTGTTATCTTTTTGCTGTAATGTTGACATATTGTGTGTGTTTCGTGTACAGTACGTTAGGTCAAGGGCTACAAACAAGTACATATCCAGGAGAAGTTCTGTTTTCCATTGCAATCGCTGTAGCCGGGCTTCTTCTTTTCGCGCTTCTTATCGGAAATATGCAGACGTACCTTCAGTCACTTACGGTACGTTTAGAGGAAATGAGGATCAAAAGACGCGATTCCGAACAATGGATGCATCATAGGTCACTTCCACAGAACCTAAGGGAACGAGTCAGACGCTATGATCAATACAAATGGTTAGAAACAAGAGGAGTCGACGAAGAAAACATAGTCCATAGTTTACCAAAAGATCTTAGAAGAGACATCAAACGCCATCTCTGTCTTAATTTAGTTCGCAGGGTAAGTTCTACTACAAACCAGAATGTGAATTGCCCTAAAAGATTCTATACTTGATTCACAAGGAACAATGTGTTTTCTGTATAGGTTCCTCTGTTTGCTAATATGGATGAGAGATTACTAGACGCAATCTGTGAGAGACTGAAACCAACTCTATACACAGAGAGTACTTACATAGTCCGAGAAGGAGATCCGGTTAACGAAATGCTCT